TGCAGCGACTGTAGGGTGCTTGGGAGGCTAAGACAGGAGGATTGAGAGTTCAAGTGAGATCTTGTCTGTGCATAAGGTGTAGCACAGTAAAATCCCTGGTGAGTAGCGAAGTGCAGATGAGAAGTGGCCACAGAGAGTGATTATTAAGCACAGGTGTGATGGGTGTGGTGGTGGACACCTGCAATCCCTGCATACTGAGAGATGGAAGCAGGAGGATCTGTTCCAAAGTTAAGCCCCGCCTGGGCAATTTAGCAAGATCCTATCTCAAAACAAATTTCTTTTTTTTATTTTTATTTCATTGAGAAACAAGTATCAATGAGACAGTTTCAAAGCTGATTAATAGGACAGTTTCGATAATTAATACATTGTACATTGTTATCTTTTTAGTGGTTATCCACAGTACAAGAAGCAGACAGGATATCCTGTCCAAACATTATTAGTACAAATCTTTCTTCTCACTGAATTAAGCGAAAGTAGCCGTATATATATCCTAACTATTTTGTATATACAAATACAAAATGGTCCTTCCTTTGTATCCCCTTTTTTTGTTTAGTCCTGTCAGAGGTGGGTATTCTATTGGCATCTAAATACTATAGGTGCTTGAATTAAGCAAAACAATCCAACACTGTCCAGCAGTCCATAATAGTAGGGGGTTATCCTCAGAAGTTTTTAACTTGAGCCTTTTCTAGCTCATCGTATTTTAATATGGCTTTACTTTATATACCTCATCAAAACAAATTTCAAAAGCCTAGAGGTAGCTCAGTGCAAAGCCCCCAAAGTTCAGTCTCTAGTACTATCTAAAAATAAATTGGGAGGGGGCAGTACAAAAGAGTAGGTTCTACTTAGGCCAGGGCTTTGTTCTAGGGATTAAACCTAAGGCTTCATACGTGTTAGCATGCACTGTACTGCTGGACTCTATAACAAGTTTTGTTTTAATTTTATAACCGAGTTTTGAATTTCCATCTTTTTCTAGTTAGAAATCTGCAGTATTCTCTTACCATGCAGGACAGAGGCAGCAGGCCCCATCTTCTTGTGAGCCATCTGGCCGTGCAAGTTAGCAGCTGATTCTTCACTGTGTGCTCCACTGCTGAGCTCTGCCATTGAGTGGATTGGGTGTATTAAATGCATTTTTTAAAATGTATATTTATTTGTGTGTGTGTGTGTGGCCAGCTCAGCCCACCAGGGGGCAGGGCTGCCTGGCATGTGGTGCTGGGGGATTGAACCGCAGTCCCTGTGCTTTGCTAAGCTTGTTCTAAGGTGCTTTAGACCACTGAGCCATCTCACCAGCCCTGTATTAAGTGCATTTTCACATTACATGTGTTTTTTATTTTTATTTATTTTTTTTTGCAGAACTGGTGATTGAACTCAGGCCCTTGTGCTTGCCAGGCAAGTGCTTATTCTACTGAGCTATCTCCCCGGCTCTACATGTGTTTTCAATTTA